GAGACTTCTCTCAGCCTCTGCCCCCTGCCCCAAGGCCTCTGTTCCTGCCTGCCCAGCGCTGTCCCGACCTCATGTCCCTTGCCATCCCGGGGGCCCGTCCTTCTCCCCCAGCCTGGCACGCTGACCTGAGAGCCGGGGTACCTAGGCTGGTGCTGTGCAGTGCCCACAGATCGGGGCACCCTGGGCTCTCAGCGAAGCTCGCCGAGAGGTTGCAGTCAGGAGCATCCCTGCGTCCCCACGGGGCACTGACCACCTGCCAGGGGCACCCACCCCAAACCAGAGGCCATTCTGGTTTGGTTTCTGGGAGATGTGCTGGCCACCTGCGGTCTTCAGCCGGGTGAGCGGCCGTCTGGGTCCCCGGGGAAGGGCCTTTCAGTTTTAACACTGAGCCGGTCTTGGGAGCCAGCGTCCCCGTGACATGAGACTTGGGAGCTGAGCCTGAGCCAGGCTGGGCTGGTCACAGGTGGTGACAGCAGGCTGTCCGCCCCAGCCCTGAGGCCAGGGGAGAGCGGGGAGGTGTCCCCCACGCCCGGGGCTGAATGAAGGAGGAAGGGGATGGATGGGCGTGATGGCACAGGGCTTCTGGGGAGGCCCCTGCACTCTCCACCCGGAGAGCTCTAAGATCCAGGCAGAAGGCGGGTCGGGCAGAGAACAGGCAGGAAGCTGAAACGCGACAAGGTGGACCGGAGGGGACGGCCTCAGCCCCGGCCTGAGCTCTGCCCGTTTCCTGCCCCCACAGGCCGGCTCGGGCCTCGCTGCAGCCGCTGCCAGAGGAGCCTGTCCTTGCACACGTCCGTGCGGATTCTGTACCTCTTCCTGGCCCTGATGCTGGTGGCCGTGGCTGTGCTGGCCTCTCTGGGTGAGTGAGGCTCCCACCCGGCCGCCGGGGTCTGGCCAGGGGTCTGGGGTCGGCTGCCCACGTACGGCACTGTATAGTTTGGGGTACTGCACCCCTAGACATACGCACCCGCTTCCGTCCTGTACCCTCACCGGTCGCCTTAACCCTTGGGTCCTCTCTGCCCGTACCCGTCCCTCTGGTAAACACCACAGTTTTCGGCGTCTCAGAGGTATTTTGGCAGTGCCCGGCCGGCTTGTTTTCTTTGGCTGGTTATAGTCCGCAAAGGAGTGCAATCATCCAGTAGCTGATTTCCTTCCTGGCATTTTGCATGAAGTTTCATCACCTCCACATCCCGTCTTATTATTGCCACAGCCCCAGTTTCATCTTTTTAACAGCCGAGTAGTATTCCATTGGGTATCTCTCCCCGGTCATGTCACTGCGCTCGTCAGTTGACTCCGTGACTGAAGCGCTGGGAACACAGGGGTGGAAATCTCACCCTGCTGCTCCCATAATGCTCACATGAATGGCCAGGGTGGGTGGCTGGGTCCTACAGCACTTCAAATTTTGGTTTTAAGGATGCTCCATGGTATTTCCAAGTAACTTTCCCAGCAAGAGGGAAGAGGGTTCCTTTACCCTACTTCCTCCTGGCTCGTGGCGGAAGTGATCCCCCGATCAAACCACAGAGAGGCATCTAATTCCTGGTCGGGGGCTGGTGGTGTGGCCTGCGTGAGGCGCCTCCTCCTTGCTGCTGGTGAACGAGGAGGCGGGACTAGATTCCTGCTTCTCCCGGTCCTTTTCCTGCAAGAACCACTGGGAGCTTTCCAGAACGTGGCGGGGCAGCTCATTCGGCCGGCTCCCGCTCTCCAGGAGGTTCTGTGGTACGTCTAGGGCTGGGTCACGGGGTGGGTGATTTGCAGGCCCTTCCCACGGTCTGGATCAAGATTGCTTCCACAGCTTGTTAAAATGCAAATTCCAGTGTCCCCTTGACCCAGTAAATCAGGTTGCTGTGGTGAGACCTGGGGGCTGAGGTTTGCCGGTTCGCTCACACACCACGGCCTGCACGGTGACGGAGGCCACCCAGGAAGAGCAGGCCTGAGGGTTCTGGAGACTTCCGCCACCGGAGGGCAGGACGGGGCTGACAGCAGCCCCACTCCTCGCTCAGACTGCAAGACCAAGACTTCTTCCGCTACGGGAGGCCAGTAGCTTGGTTGGTTCCACTCAGTAGGTGTTAGAGGCAGGCCGGGACCAGTGAGACTGGGTCACGCTGAAGATGCCATGTACTAGGTGCCCTTGGCCGGACTCCGCTCCTGACTCCCAGAGACCCCGCAGGAGTGAACACCCGCCCAGAGGCGCGCCTGGTCCCGCCCTGGTGGAGACAGTCACTTGCCTTCCTGGTGTGAAGGAGGCCAGCCAGACTCGTGATTCGAAAACACCCTCATCACCTTCCAGTGGTGCCGAAAGCACGAGTTAATCCAGCCCAAGCTGAGCACCCAGGATGAGCGAAGCCCTGGGGCTACCGAGATGACTCAGCACCTTCACCCTCAAGGGCATGGCTCTCGTCTCCTCTGTGCTTAAATCCCTGGGAGAGCCATAAAAAATGCCTGGAGCTTCCATCTGACCCAGCAGTCCCACTCCTAGGGATCACCCCAAAAGACACAGAAGCACTGATCCGAAAAGACACCTGCACCCCCATGTTTATTGCTGCCCTATTCACAACAGGAAAGGCGTGGGCAGCCCAAATGCCCAAAGTGAATGGCTGGGTCCAAAGATGCGTCAGATACACCATGGAATATTCCTCAGCAACCAAAAAAGATAAACGCCTGCCTTCAGCAGCAGCGTGGACGGAGCTGGAAGGGAGCATGCTTACTGAAATAAGCAGAAAAGGAAAAATACTGGATGGTTTCACTCATAGCAGGAGCTAAAGGACCGGGGTGGGGGTGGGGGAGGGGAGAATAATAATAATAATGATCAGCTATATAGAGAGACATTACGGAGTGGAGCGGGGAATGGGATCAAAAGTGGAGGGAGGGAGGAGAAGTGCAGTGGCACATGGGTGAGCTGGTGACAGAAGCCCACGGGGATGACAACGGAGATGGACAAAGGCACAAAATGATGTAAAAATAAACCATTATATTATTTTTTCTTAAAAATGCCAGCACCAAACCCCCTCTCCAGATGAGTAAGTCAGAGCCTCTGGGCAGAACCAGGCCTGAATAGTTTCTAGAAGCCTCTTGGAGGATCCCACGGTGCAGTCAGGTTTGAGGACCTCTGAGCTCAAGCACTGTTCAGCAGCACCTGCCCACTAAGTCACTTCACAGCCCCCAGAGAGAGAGGCCCGAGCTGGGTCAGCTCAGCTGGGGTCAGCTTGGGAAGGAGCAGCAGCGGCAGCCTTGGTACTCAGGGCCGTGGGGACCTTGAAGGCGCCTGGTTGAGCCTGTGAGGCCCGCAGCGCCCAGACCACAGGACCGTGGGTGGCTGACAGACGCAGCAGGCCAGCGAGAGCACTCAGCAGGAGGCCAGGCCTGCAGCTCCACCTCCTGTCCAGGCCCTGGTGTGTAGGGAGCAGCTCACTGCCTCTGCCAGTCAGCGACGGGAGCCTGGTCTCATTCCACAGAGGAGGAAGCAGGTCTGGGGGGGTCTCACCCCACGGGGTGATCCCGTGTTTGCAGAGACCTTTGGGGGCCTTTTGGCTTTGACCTGAGGCCAGGTGGCCCGTGTGCCTGGAGCTGGGCCAGCACCATCCTGGCCTGGCTGGGAGACGCTCGGTGACGTCGGTCAGTTTAACATCTAGCGACTGGGAGCGTGTGTGAGCTCAGTTACGTCACCCAACAGCAGAGACCTCCTGGGACCCCGTCCTTAGCCACTGCGGCTGCATGAGCAGGCGGGCTGGAGACACAGCTTGTCGTCCCACCACCCCATAGTCGGGGCCATGGGAAGTCAGAGGTCGGAGTGGAGAGCTGCGGCCGCCCTTTCACTGGGCACTTTTAGGGACAGTAGGCAAACGCTGCGTAATGAAGAGCAGGCCTCGACCTGATGGAGCTTATGAAGCAGGCATGTTGGGCAATTTTTCTCTGTAAGGAGCTAGCTGGTGTTTTCGCATTTGCAGCCACAAAGGGTGTTTGTCCACAACCACGCTCTGTACCGCAAAAGCAGCAGCCGCTGCCACCCCCCTGCCCCGCCCCTCCCTCCAGCCCCCCCAGAGAAGTGGTCTTCGGGGCGGATTTCACCCGAGGCCCTTGTTACCAGTCCCCGATCTGGACCAGTAATCTGTTCACCCATCATCCATGATTTAAGATGCACCCAAGTGAGGAATCATTTTTAGGAAGCAAAAATATTCTAGAGAGAGATTTTGGCATCCTCATGTGTGTCTTGGAGAGCCAGGGAATCTTGTAAAAATAATAA